GTAGACAACCCACGGAATGGGTCAAGGTTGTAGAGGACGTATGGAAGGGGCTCGACATAGACGAAGATGAAACGCTGGAAACGGAGGGTCTAAAGGGGTTCAAGGAGAGGATATCTGTTGCTTGTGCCGCGAGAGAAGAACATCATGCAACGAAAGAAACTAAGGATAAGGAGGGTCTAGAAGTATACGGAATATTCAAGGAAGGAACAGGGTTCAAGGATTACCTACATGAACCAATGGATACAGGAACAAAGCTTAAGGTCAAATTCAGGACCGGGGACATAGGCCTTCGAGAACGTCGACGAAGACATAGGACGGTAGACGAGGAAGACGACGAGTTCAAATGTGATTGCGGCTTCGAATGCGAAGACCGTGTTCATGTAGTCGCGGAATGTCCGTTGTACAAGAAGGAGAGGGAAGTGTACGTGACTGAGCTGGGAAAAATAGATGGGACGTACAGGGAGATGTTTGAGGCATGGAATAGAGAGGAAAGGACGGTAGCTGTACTGGGGCACAGGAGGTGGGTTGAAAAGGCGGGAAGGAATATCGTTAGGATAGACGGACTAGGGAAGACACTTTTTAGCCACCTTTGGCAAAGTAGAAAGGAACGATTGGCCATCGGTGATCGGTCCCGTGGTAACAATGCTCCGTCCTCTCGAGGACGCGTGGTCAATGGTCTAACCGCTAAGGCATGCAAAACAGACGAGTATGCCCCCCCCCTCTCTATAACTAGATGGACTCGAAAGGCATTTTTTTTCACACGGACACATATCGCGGTAACAAGTGCTTCGCTCTCACCCTCTGTTTGCACAGCCTGTCGCGGTGTGGCTTGAACGGCAAGAGGTGTTCATCGTCGCGGGCGATGAACTCCCACTCAGGCGTCTCGCCGAGGTACCTTTCGAGAAAAGGCAAGAAGGAAGGGACAGAGAGGCGAGACTGCATCAGACCAGGCTGCTCCTACGATCGCATGGTAGCGCAACTTGTTTGTTGATCATGCGCATCTGCTGTCAGACCATGTTTCGGGGTGATTTGAAAGATGACAACTTAACGGAGGGAGGGGCTGTGGGCGTTGTTTAGTACAACAACCGGACTGTATCATCGTTTTCATTTTGAGTTCCCCCCCCACGACACGACCGTTTTCATGTAGTCGCGGAATGTCCGTTGTACAAGAAGGAGAGGGAAGTGTACGTGACTGAGCTGGGAAAAATAGATAGGACGTACAGGGAGATGTTTGAGGCATGGAATAGAGAGGAAAGAACGGTAGCTGTACTGGGGCATAGGAGGTGGGTTGAAAAGGCGGGAAGGGATATCGTTGGGATAGACAGACTAAGGACATTTTTTAGCCACCTTTGGCAAAGTAGGAAGGAACGATTGGCCATCAGTGATCGGTCCTGTGGGAACAATGCTCCGTGCTCTCGAGGACGCGTGGTCAATGGTCTAACCGCCAAGGCATGCAAAACATAAGAGTACGCCCCCCCCCCTCCCCCCCCCCAAGACACGAAACGAGCATATTCAGTTATACCGGTAAAGAGTCAGGGATAACCAGCAATTAAATGATTTGTGTTTCACATTATCTACTTGTAGTTGTTACCTCGCATAGCGCGCAGAGGGAGTGGAGGACACCAGAATATCTGCCGTTGATTTCTATTGACTTGCAGACCCCTCGGGGCCATTTTATTTGAGTGCACCATTTTAGGGTAAGTTAGCCTGCGACCACGGGAATCGACCGCGTCGAGTGTTGTATCAGTACGGATTTACGAAGGTACTGGGTCGAGAGAGATCGGAACGGTTTTTAATGTGAATGAAGACAACAACAAGACAACAACTTGTGTACTCCATTATCCGAGCAATACTTGCATAGCAGCGATGTCTCCCTTGTGGGTGACGGGCTAACAAGGTAACAAGACAGTCTGGTGGCCAACTTGTGTACCAGGCAAGTATTGGACAACAAACTATTTGGTGCTGGGATGGGTTAGCAAAGCAATAAGGTGCTGGTAAAAGGGCTGGTTGTTCGGATGCTTGTGGTGGTGTTGAAAACATCACACATGTGTGCAGTTTCATGTTGGGGTGAGGTTGTGTCGATGCCTGTATTGGACTACAATACGGCGTCACTGATGCAGGCCACTGCTGTTCAAGTCTCATGAACGTGAGTACTTCCAATGTATGAGCAGTGGAGACATCGTCCACGATGATGGAAGATGGTCCTTACATATTCGTACCAGGTATGTTTTTTGGAATTCTTTTTTATGAAGTGACCCCAACGAATCCATCCCTATCCTCGTATTGGCGGGGCACTCCCCAAGCAGCATGCAGCGACATGTGTATTGTCTGTTTTTCGTCGTTTCTCGACATGCATGCGTGAGGCTACCCTGCCCGTTATTGAAACCGCCGGGTGTGGCCCGATCCTTTTTTCTTTTTGGCAGAGGAGTTCTGCCAATTTCCTCCTCCGCGCGCCCTTGAAAGTAAAACCTGAAAGAGTAACAGAAAGCTCGTAGGCACAATCCCCATCAACAGGATGAGCCAACACCGCGGTAAGCGGAAGATGTGGCAATCGATCGGAGAGATTCGCGCATGAGCCTCAAGATATCTATGAGTATCTCGAAACATGTAAATCTCGTTATGGTCCAAACCAATTTTTTTTTTGCCGCGCCTACGGTTTCGCCGACCTCCACCCACACGATGCGTCTCGTGCGTGCTGATGCAAGCGAAACGGCTTCGGAGCTTCGTCCACGACTGTGCCACCCTGACTCCTGAAAGATATTACCCAAGCGCCCCCCCCCAAAAAAGATAAAGCAGTGCCATTGCCGCACCCCTCATGATCGTCGTTCTCATGCATGGCCATGCCCAGCCATCTCAAGCCTCTTGTTCTTTTAGACACTCACAGGTTCAACACTTCGCCCTCTCTGGGCTGCGCCTCGTCGTCGGTGACATCAACCTTGCGTCCGCACTCGATCAGCCACGCAATCCCATCAGGGACGAAGCCTGGCACGGGCACAATACAGCAGTCGCGTGTGTTGTGGCATAAGTAGCATAGGTCTCGTGGGCGCCAAAGAGGAAGGCGCGTGGGTAACATCTTGCCAAAGGGTTTCAATAATTTCAATATTAAGCAAATAATAAAATAATAAAAATTTCAAACGCGCTCGGGTGAGAACGTAGGACGAACGATCATAGGTATACCTGCTTCTTTTGCAGCGTCCCAGCTCGCAAACGCGATGCTCGGCCACCACTTGTCCTTTTTGGTGCTCCTAGACCACACAACCCCGCCTTCTTCGAAATGCGCCATGGCTGCAGATAACGTATCGTCGATTGTCTTCGTTTGCCACAGCCAGCTGGACGTTCACCCGACGTGGCCCCCCCTATGCATATCTTTGTTTCGATTTTGCGATACCCCTTGGGTGAAAAGAGTCGAACAAATCCACAGAATCGTCGTAGCAGCAGTCTTTAGAGCACCGAGACTTCGAGCCGCGCGAATATCTACGAGAGAACGATGGTCCGGTCTCGGGGATTCGGTGTGAGCGCCCTCGGGATGCTGGCATTGTCCCCCAGTTGTACCCTTGGACGACACCTTTTGCTGGACAAGGTGAGAGAGCAATCTTCACAAGTCTTCGTGGGCGCCCGCGAGTTGCAGCGGCGGCGAACTCGCGGAGGGGGTTGCCGCTAAGCCAGCCATACGCTTGGGATGACCAGCAGTTGCAATGGTGTAGCTGGCGCCTTTCAACAGGTGTCTTCGCTTGACTCCACTGCCAATGTCAACCTGGTCTCGCACGCCGTCATCATCATGTCCAAAGCAGCACCAACACTCTGCAAGAGTCTGTACAAAATCCGCCCGCCGCTTGGAACGTTCACGTTTCTATCCGCGGACGAAGGTCGGTCCGTGCTAATAGAAACACGCGCACAAGGCGCACAAGAGCCATTCAACGCCTCGCCACTGCGTGTCTATCGTCGCAAGCGGTCCGCTAACAGTGCTTCCCGCTCTGCATTATGTGGAACTCGCCAATTACTATTGCTACAACTGCTGTGGTTGTGTCGTGATGCTTGCGTACCACGATGTGGACTCTTACGCAGTCTATCCACTGGCCTACCTGGTAGCTCTACGCACAGCAGGCTTGGTGTTGACTAGCCTAAGGCTGTATCGTACATATGCTACATCAAATCTCTGTGCCAAACACAGAGGGCCTCTAGACACAATGGGGTTCTCCTCTCCGCGAGCCCCTCTGTAGATCCCAGTAAGTTAGCCGAGAGGCTTGGCCATTGCTTATCGAACATCCGAGAGACGTCGACAGCTACACTAGACGCAGAGGGGCGACGCCAATAGCAGTGATCCCATCCTCCTCTCAACCCCACACTTGACTCGTAGGTTCTTTCCGACAAACCTCCTCCGGGGCAGAGCGACGCCTCCTGCGCACACTACGTTCGCGTGGGCCTGGATGAGGGGGTTGATGCTAACGGAAGACCGATCGTCGAGCGTGAGTGCTTCCTCACCCCCCCNCCCCCCCCCCCCCCCCCCCGCCGCTACCTTCCGAGGCGTTTCGTGGCAATATCTAAGACACGAGTTAGCTAACTTTCCCTGCGATGCTGTTGAAGGGCACTATGCGAAGTCGTCGGAGCCGTCGTTCTTAGGCGTCAAAATGGTCGCTTTTGAGACAACCGAGAACCGAGAGTGTGTATCCCCTCTTTAGTGAGCGTTTTGAACCCAGCTGTGGGCCATGGCGCCAAGGCTGTTAGAAGCTCGCGGCAGAGCAGAGGAGCGTCCTTTGTTGGCGAGGAAAAGTGCCAGCTAAACATGTGTGTTCTGTAGGCGTCACATAGGGCCTGTCGTAACCCCCCCCCCCCTGAGAATCCAGTGGTCATGCCAGTCCTGTTGTACATGTCTCCACACAGCAATGTTCACCTACATGCCTGGCGGTGCGTGCATGGCGCGAGTTGCCAGTGCGCGCACTGCTGCCTTCTGCAGAAGAATTCCCCACTGCGGCGTTGGTAACACACCACCACCAACACTAACGAGCCCCACTCGTTTCTCGGAAGGTAGCGCGGTTTTCCGCATACACCTTGTACATGCCCACCTCACGATAGTGCCGTGTTGACTGAGACGCCACCTGCTGATGCACGCTGCATCCTCTTGCTACTGCTGTGGGCACCTCTGCTATATTCGTGAACGCGAACCAGCGGAGGTGCACCACCTAGTCAGCGCGATGCAGAAGGGCTGGTGGCAGTGCGCGTCGGCTGTGGCGAACGCCTTGTGAGTCTCGTGCCCCCAAACGCTACTGCTGTGCATAGATTTTAGTCTCATCTGTCTTCTGAACGCGAACGACGACTCGAACCGAATTTTTTTTTTTTGTAGAGACTGGTGTGTCGGGTACCCTGTTGTGTTAACCTTGACGTGTATGCGCGTATGCATACATCGGCGTTTGATGTTGGTGGCGTGGTGAAGGTTTTGGGTGGGCGTTGGAACCATGGTACTGCTGATGCTGATATCGTACTCCCGTGTTCGAGCAAAAATGTCTATTTGGCGCAGGACCAAGGGAGAGGGCCGGACACGAATCACTTGGGTTGGGTCGATATGGCCTAAATATGTTTTTGTCCACAGTATCTCCTGGAAAAGGAGCACATAGATGAAGGTCGGCTTGTGGACGAGGTTGGGCTTGTTGCTCTCTTTGCTGCTTGTGTCGGGACACAGTGCTTGTAGATCTTGTCGTGGTTTGTTCGTGGAAGTCATCGTGACATCGGCAGCAGCGTCCGCAATTCATGGCAAGAACAAACTTTGGTCTGGAATGACCGGGTTCGTACGGGCGAGTGCACGTTCGCGGAAGGTGGCAGAAAACGGCGCTTTCTATTCGCTGTTTGCACTTCTGCAGTTTCACCTATGTTCGGCGCACTTACAAACTTGGGGGGTGGGGGGGGCGTTACATCTTTGGTCGTCGCGTGACCTGGACACAGGGCAAAGTACGGGCCAGAGGTGGAAGATGCTTTCCAGATGGAGCAGCGAACCATCACCAAGCACCTGAACGAGATCAAGAGCGCACTGGAGAAGGGGAAGCCGATGCAGAGGTTGGGAAGAGCAAACCGCTGCAATATATGTACCTTACCAATCGCAACAGCACAAGTTCTTTCCTCTGGGGGACGCGCACGCGAGAGGCGTCGGTCTAGTCTCTCAATCCATTTCCAAAGAGACGAGGTCATCCCGCGTATCGTGGGGGCTCCGTGGATCTTTTTAGTCTAGGAACGTAGTCCGTACTGCGTGGAACTTGTTCCGTACTGCGACGGTCACCCTCAGCACTATTTGGGCATTCATTTTTTTTTTTGGACAAGAACAATTGCGATGGCACATAACGTCTGTTGCGTTAGAGCTTGCTGGATTTTTTTTCACATGCGTAACCCACTCGCCGCGTGCTGCCAACGCCGCCTCTGATAGCAAACGCCCCCGTGCGAACGCCAAACCAATGCTTCAATCTTGACTACCAAAATCCGGCAGCATCTCTCCGGCGTTCGAGTGGGCCCAGAGCGGCGACTGGGTGTACATCAACGCCAAGATGAGCCACAAGCTCGACGCCCCCGCGACGCTCAACGTTATCTCGGAGGGGGTGCAGATGGAGGAGCGGTCGCTCAAGTTCGCCGCTGCCAGAGACCACAAGAGGTTCGCTCTCGACCTTAGCCTGCACGACGCCATTGAGCCGGAGGTGAGTCGTGAGAAAGAGTATCGAGTGTCATAGATGATAGTGGTATGAGAGATGATACAAGAGAAAGTGAGTGAGATGATGTGAGTGCGAGAGAGTCATCGTATGAGAGATAGCCACATTTAGAGAGAGAGGGTGTGTGAGAGAGAAGGTCAGACCACGAGAGATGTATACATGCATATATAGAAAGGGAAAGAGATTGAAGGAGAGAAAGAGGTTGTGGGTGAGAGAAGATAAGAGAGAAACAGTAGCGGTCGAAACTAACTTCAAACGAGGCTTGGTCACCGGGTTCAAGGCGTAGAGTACTCGCCTCAACTGGGTAAATACCATACAGGCGATCCCGTTGATATCCGCAGCACTTGCTCGTGAGGAGCCAAGTCTCTTCTGTGCACGTGCGGGCAAGCGTTCGGCGGACATGAGGCAATACTGAGTTCTTCCGAGTTTGCAGCAGCGTGGTGTCTTTGCTCCGCCCTAAGTTAAGCTGGTGAGATGTTACTACACACTTATGACTCGAAACAGCAACACTTTACGCCCTAAGTTAACATCGTCAGCCCCCCCGGCCCCTCCCACCTACACGTACATCGCATCCCCCCCTCCCCCGCCGCGGCCCTCCTCCTTACAGCCCAGCACGATTTCCTTTGGGTCTGTCGGTCGCGTGACTTTCACCCTCAAGAAGGCCAAGGGCGGTGTCAAGTGGCCCAAGCTTTTGGCCGACGGCCAGAAAAAACCGGGTAAGCGGCGCAAATCGTCTCTGCGATCGGGGGGGTGCGTTCGGGAGAAGGAGCACAGGTTGCCATGGATCGGCCGTAGACCTTGGTGTCACCGATAGACGCTCGCTTTTCTCGCGAAAGCTGATGGAGAGTGCGCCTCGTTTCCAGCGATGGCAAGGGGGGGTGGAGACGTGCTGAATGGCCTCTTTGCCGGTCGAAGTATTGTTGCGCAGGTAGGACTGTCAGCACGGCGGGGCTCTTGTTTCGTTAGTTTCCCGCCTGAGAAGTTGCCGTCTTTCTCGAACGATAGGACCAATTGGCCGCCAATTGTCCCCCTCGTGTCCGGAACCCTAATATGATTGTTGTTGTTTTGTTGGACCAGTCAACATGCACGTCTGGTGGACGAAGCAAGAGGAGCACTCGGACGAGCTGGACGACCTCGAGGAAGCCGCCACGGCGGCCGCCGAGAGAGCCGAGAAAATGGCCAAGGAAGAAGGAGGAGGTCTCCCCGAACAGGGGAAGGTTGAGAGCGGCGACGGCGATGGCAACGCGTCGAAGGAGGGGGCGGCGGCGACGGAAGACACGATGAGCCCCCAGCGGCAACTAGCCAGCAAGAAGAAGAAGGTGGCGACGGCGTTCGCCAAGGAGAAAAGAGCCAGGTTCGACGAGGGGAGCATGTCGGAAGCGTCGCAGTCTGTCGAGAAAGGGCGCTTGTTCGGGCAGGAAATCGCGGTACTGGACTGAGCAACACCGAGCAAGAACTGTTCTACCGCCGTGTGGCGATTTTAGTGGTTTGCTTGACCCACCCTCCCCGGCTCGTTTTCTGTTTTCGTGGCGGAGACCTGCAGATTCGAGGAGTTAGAGAAGGAAAAGAGAGCGGCGGTAAAGTCCATTGATGAGGAAGCGGCGAGGAAGAAGAAAGAGGCCGAAGAAGGTAAGGAAAAACTTGTTCCTGATAGTGCGGCGGAGAGAAAGAGGGAACCGTTCGGCTCTTGTACCAGGAGAGCGAGTTTGTTCAGCGAAGGGTGCACTGTTTGTGTTTGCTCAGCCACACTGGTAGAGACTGGCGTTACCTTTGGTGGCGAGGGGCTTGTAGTGGGGATGTGGTTTTGGAGGTATTTCGGGAGCCAGGCCCCTTAAAACCCTCACCGCACATATCTGGACGTGCCGAACGAAACTCATCGGAGGCGGTTTGGGGTACAAGTTCCGTTCTAGGGATGAAGTTCCTGCGTTGCCGTTATGTTATCCCATGCCAGATTCAAGCGTAAAGTAAACCATGCATCCCGGTCCATTGCGTCGGAACCCAGTGTTGATGAGCTAGCTGGCCCCTTGTGGGAAACGGCCCAATGTAACGTTGAAGCAGATTTTTTTGTTGCCCCTTTCCTGTATCTTCCGTGTCCTCCTTCCTCTCCCCCCCCCCCCTCTCGAAATCCAATATTGATGAGCTAGTTCCTCGTGAAAAAGACGGAATGCTGCTGTCGCAGATGCCGCTCTTTATGTCCCCCGTGTTTTAAGTCCCACAAAAAGCAAAAAAAAAATGACAAAGCGGCTCGTCGACCTATGATGGGTTGCCCAGCGCACCATTTGGTGCACACCTTTTGTCCCTGCTGGTACTCCTCGCACAGACAGCTACGTGCCATGAAATCTGCAGGATACCTCAAGCATGTTGTGTTCCACACGCGCAGACGTTTGGTTTGGCCTGGTTTCGCTCTGAACCTGGCAAATGCCGTGCTATCAAAAGTGAAATGGCTGCTGCTTCAAGCCCGTTCAGCAGCTCTCAGCACCAAACTTCACGCTGCTAGACGCGGGCGAAGGAGTTGACGATTTCGCTCGAGACTTCGCCAGAGTGGATAACATACGCATAGATAGCGTTGAGGGGTTGGCGAAATTTGGGATCGCCACCACGAGAGTCGTTTCAGTGAAGCACTCCATCGCCTATGTATCGACCAAATACGCCCCACACGTCTACCTCCAATTTTGCTGGAATTCTCCGGCGAGTTCCCCCCCAATGTTACCTTCAACGCTCTAAACGCGCTCAAAAAACGATCCCGTCCAAATATTTGATGGCACCACGCTGTGGAGACATGCCTAAGGTTGCTTTAGAAGGTTGGCCACATTTGGAATCGCCACTACAGGCGGAGGCATTGACGAATAACGGTCTGTCCCTTAGGAATTCGGCGGCCGTGGGGGCTCCGCGTGATCGATGCCTTGTCGAATTCAAAAAAACGTTTTTTGTGGGGACTTGCAACACGGGTGTTGTTGCCTCTCTCATTCCTGTCTCTTGTGCCCCATGTCCCCCCTCCCCATTTATTTATCTCTGCGTCCCCCTTCCCCCCCATTTGCTGTGCGTCTCTCCCCTAACCCACCTCTCGCCCCCGCACGGCCGCTCATCGTGCAGCTCTTCAGACGAGAAAAGCGTCCATCAACGAGGAGTTCGGGTTGCTGGTCAAGAAGAGGCACGCCGAATTGGAAGCGGAGCACAAGGCCAACCAACGAAGCGAGCTGTAACTTTTTGGCAAATCCTGTTCGTTGCACGACGCATTCATACAAACCGATCGACTGAAAAAAAGCACACCCAGTTGCGATATTGACGACGGTTGTGCGTTCGCCGACGGAAAGTTGATTCAAAGTGTTGTCGTCTTACCTTTTGATTATTTAGGTTAACTCGGCCACAGTTCAAATCGGCGTGGTCAAATCAGTTTGATATTTNGGGGGGGGGGGGGGGGGGGGGGGGGGGGGGGGGGGGGGGGGGGGGGGGGGGGGGGGGGGGGGGGGGGGGGGGGGGACGCGTGTACAGTAGTGAAGAGAGGGGTGTGTAGTGTAGTGATGTCTGGCTATTTGGTCGTGTCTTTCTATGAGTATGAGAGAACGGCGGGTGAAGCCTACAACCACGCCTTGATGGGCAGCTTCTGCATGCGAAGTTCGTGACGTGGGAAACACCCGTTTGAGCATTGCAACGGGCGACAAGGTAGGCATCGGTGCCAGATGTCGCACAACTCGATACTTGTGAACGTGCTTCTTTCTAGTAATGTGTGCGAAGGCCTTGCTTACCCACAGTGCAGTCAAGCACGAGCAAAATGCTGTCACAGTCCTAGAGAAAGTTGTGTGTCCAAACGCTGCGATAAGCTGGCACTTATTGTGCGCATGTACTTGTACGATTTCCGGCGTGGATGCAAAAACTGCACCTTACCTTCGCGTCGTGCCAAAAAATTACACTATTTTATTCATCGATTCCATGTCAAGGGCGTGTGTTGTGACGGGCGTGCGACATTTATTACGAAAATGAGAAAAAACATTTCGGACGAGGACTCACTAGGCTTTACAATCAATCAGGGAAATTCTACCTTCTGGAACTACTGCTACTATTGTGTACTACACACTGCTACTGTGTACACAGCACTGCACTTCACGCTCGACGATGTCACACATGCAGATCACGTGGCTGTTTCCTCCCCCTAAGTGTCCAAGCAAAATATCTCACAAGAAGCTGTTCCAGCCTAACGATTGTTCAACCAATGCCCCTATGCCAATCCCTTCCCACCCTGCCAATGTTGTCCAAGCACAAAAGAAAACTGGATTAATTTCAGCCAGAGTAATGACACGACCGTCTCCCCGCACAGCACAAAGCTAGAATACACTGGTTGTTTTGATACCATGGCATCCTCAGTCCGTGTGCGTTCACCCATGGAAAAAACAAAAGTATTCTACCAACTAGTCAGCACGCGAAAGAGCGTGCTTCGACCCCTCTCCCGGGCGCCTCTCCCTCCCCCAACCCTCTCCATGAGGGACCCCTATCGTCCGTTTTCTCCGGATACCAGCGTTGGCATCTTTATTCACACGTAAAAACAAGGAAAACATGGAAGGCCCTTTTTGCGATATTGGCCATGGACCAACAAAACGAAAAACCGACGAACCGTACATCATACCGAAGACCTCCCGGAAAATACCTTTCGCTAAAAGATTTGGAAAAATTCTATCTCGCACAACACCGTAACATTCAACAAACATCAACGCAGACGTAGCTCCTATGCGCGTCGTGGATGGCGCCAAAAACAGAGTGATATACGGCCATACACTCTTCGCGTGACCCCCGTCGCCTCCCTCCCCCCCCTCCCTTCACGTCGTGCGGTCTCTCGCGCCTGCTTGGGATTCTAAGCAAGTAGAACATGTGCAACCAAAACGAATTCCTGCTGCTCTCTGGAAAGAACCTATCATCCGCACAGCTACGATCCTTCTGTTGCCCCCCCCCCCGCCCCCCCAGTCAAGTCATACGCAGCTGCCATCCGTACGCAAGGAAGTCAGCACGAGATGCCGAACAAGCTCAGCAGGATGTAGCGCACCCTTGATGCGACTCGCCGAATATCTCACGGGGCTTCGCGCTTGGTGATGTGAGAGCCTGGTCCGGTGAGAACCCGGCGTGCTCCGTCCCGGCTTTGTAGGGATGCGAGGTCAATGGTCTAACGACTACGGCATGCACGACTATAAGTACCCCCCCCCCCGCCCCCCCAGCCCCGCAACCTCTCGCAACAGAATTGAGTGTGGCTGTTCCTAGCCCTCTGCAACACGTTCCGCTCGTGTACCGGCTTTCTGGCGCAGTTCTCTCCTCGTCTTCCCCTTCATCACGAGTGTCCTCGGCAAGCAAGGCCACCCCTCACCTCAAACGCGCCTACACAGCAAAAGCATACGAAAAACGCAGGGGTCGTGATTGCGGGCAAAATCAGTACAATCAACCGGAAATAAATCCTTGCGAGAATACAACGAAGACACACAACGTTGTGCCGAGAGAGACACGATAAGCCACACGTACGTCTCAGTTTAACCTGTTGGCCGGAAGCGACGACAGCGGAGCGCCTGCCACCGGCGTTTGCGGGCGCGGGATCTTCACCTCCGCCTTCCCGTGCTTGAGGCTGGGCGCGACCGCTCTGCGGTTGTCGCCGGATTCGGCGGACCACGCCGAGTCCTGAGCGAACAGCGCGATGGACAGCGGCTGGCCCCTTCTCTTCGGCACTTGGTTCTCCCCTCCGCCCCCGGCCGGAGAGCCCGGCCCCGCTGCCGCAACAGGCGAACCGGACGGTTGCGGCGGCGGCGGTGGCGGCGGCGGCGGTGCGTTCGCCTCCGAGAGACAGCCGCGCACGGTCGAAAACGGTGTGTGAGACCTCGGCTTCGTGGGCGTCACGCCGGCCGAGAACAGCAGTCGTCGGAGGAACCCTTGCCTGACGCGAGGTCCGGCGACGGGCTCCGGAATTGGCGCGGCCGGCGCTGGGGCCACCGCAACCGCCGCCGCCGCCGCCGAAGACGTTGGCGGCTGCGGGGCCGCTGCCTGAGCGGCCGCGGCGGCGGCGGCAGCGGCGGCTGCGGCCCTCGCGCACGCCTCCTCGAGCTCCTTCCCCTTTGATGACCCCCGCGGCTCGCGCTTGGCAGGAGAATGTTGGCATCCTAAGGTTGCTGCCGCGTTGGCCGCGGCCTGGCGGAACGGAGACCCGCTCGTCTCCTGCGACGGGAGAAGGCTTGGAGCATCCCAGCTCTTGGAAGGGTTGGTCGGCTGGCCGCAGCTCAGGCCGCTATCGCACGACGGGGCGGGCTTGCCGACGTTGTCGAAGTCGAAGCTCAGCTCGAAGTTGTCCTCGTTGAACAGGGATTCGCCGATGTTGTCCAGGCTCCTGTAGAGGTCATCGAGCGCGGGGTCGTCGTCCACCACCCAGCCGTCCCCGAGCTGATCCCCGATCGACGTGTAGTCCGGCTGCTGCTTATGCGCCTTGAGCGGGGAACAAGTAGGCGACGGTGGCGGCATGCCCGAGGGACTGCACCCACCACCACCTTCCTCGTCGCGGAGCAGGGCAGCGGTGAGGGGAGCGAAGAGGTCGTCCTCTTCGCTCGACAGCGTGAGCGACCCGATATCGCAACCCTTTGGCGGCGGCGCCACCGCGCCCATCAAGCCCGCAGGCGGTGGCGGATGCTGCTGCTGCTGCGGATGCTGCTGCTGAGCGACTCTCGCGCTTCCCGTCGCCGCGTTCAAGCCCGTCTTGAAGGCGTGGTCCATGAGAGCCTTCTCACGGTCCGTGAGCGTCACCGCCTGCTGCTGCTGCTGCTGCTGCTGCTCCGTCTCTCGAGCGATGAGGTCCTGACCCCCCAGGTCGCCCAGGAAAATCTCCGAAGGCTCCGCCGGCAGCGTTGACGCTTTCGCCCTCCCCCTCGCGCTACAAGCCACGCCCCCCCCCGAGTCCGTCCCCGTCCGGCCGCGCCGCCCGCCCACAGAGTTGCGGAACACGATCTCGTTCCAGTGCTGCTGGATCACCGCCTCGCTCCGGCCGGGGAAATGGCGGGCGATGAGGCTCCAGTTGGTGCCGTTGGCCTCCACCGCGCTGACGAGCTTGACTTCCTCGGCGGCTGTCCAGCCGGGACCCTTGCGGAGGTTCGGGTCGAGGTGGTTGCTCCAGCGCTCCCGGCAGTGCTTGGGCTTGCGCTTGGGCAGGGCGGCCGCGACCTCGGCCCAGTCGGTGACCCCGCGCGCGACGCAGTCGAAGATGACGGCGTCCTCCTCGGGGGACCACACCCCCTTGAGCAGGGCCGGCTTCACCACCATCTTCCAGTGGGTGGCGCACTGCGTGCCCGTCCGCGAGCCCTTCAGGAAGTGGTGGGCGATCTTGTTCCATTCCTGCAAAACAGACCGGCGCATGTCAAGGAGATTGGTCGAGCCTGAGCAACAAATGCACGAAACGGCGCTGCCCTGTCAGTGTAGTTGGTGTCTCTTTGGGGAAGCTGTGCCCAGGTGACGTAGTAGGAACGCAATCCACGGGTATCGTCCGTCCTTCGTTACCTTGGTCGTCAAAAGGGTTCGCCAATCGTTTGCGTTCACGGTGCCTACCTTGCCTGTGTGCTCCCCTGGATGGAAAACGTCAAGCTGCAAGCATTCTGGCAACCAACAAGTACCTTCGGCATAGCACGGAGTCTTTGGCAAGGCACGGGTAGGTGCAATTATTTGAGCTGGTTAGCCTCGACAGCACTAGAGCACAGGATGGGGCCGGAGTCGATCAGCGGTAAGCGGATTTTTACCTCCACCTCGGCCCCGGCTCTACCCTGTAGGCGTGTTCTGTCAACATGGGTTTGGTCCACTTGAGCCCGGGTCTTAGACCGAAATGTACACCCAGTCCAAGTGTTGGAACGGAAAGAAACACAGAATATTCCGGCTTGATTGGGTGAAATGATGACAAGACCGCTCCTTGTTTTGCTCCAACTGAATTCTAGCAAGGTGAACTCTGTTTTGGAAAAGCGGACGAACGTTTCAAATCAACGAAGAGTGGTTTAATCTCAAAACCAGAGCTGGGCGAACCGCCCACCCAGAGTTCCGAAGAGTTGATCTACTCGAGGGTAAGATGGCAATGGACTGCAAGACAGTGGTTGTTTCAGGCACGCTGCGTTGCCACAAGGGACTCGCTTTCCACCCGCACACCGCGCACAACGGACTTCACAGCCAACCCGCGAGCAAGAGATATGTCCTTGTCGTACGCTGACCATCGGCAGCGCGACAAGTAGCAGCAGCAGCAGCTGCAGCTGCAGCCACTGGCGCCGCAAGGATATACACCGCAGCATGTGCCGCCGCTCTCAGTGGTTATGCGCCGCTCTCGCCTATGTTTCTGTCATGGTGTTTCCCCGGCCTGCGCGGCCTAGGAGGCTGGCTCACTAACAGCAGCCCCAACTCCACCCAACTGCAACCCAGCACAACGTCAACCACAGGCTCTTATTCGATATTTTGCCGCACGCTCAACTTGATCTGTAGGTTTGGGTTTGGAAAAAGCGGTCAAGACCCGCCACGATTCCACGTACCGTAAATCTTTCCGAAGTAGTTCTTGGTCCGGGTGTGATTTCTGGGTGCACATTTCCGATCGAGACTCGGCCTGAGAGCGGGACGTTCCAGTAGGTTTAACAGTACACTATCTACAGCAGAGTAACGGCTCACAAACTGCAACATTGCGACCCTGTAGCTGGTGCTACTGCTGTTTCCTCTTGAGCGGGTGTCCACTATTTAAACCGAGGCGGTTGTTTACGTGGTCTACGTCTATGCATACTGCACGTACGCAATACCACCACCACCCTGCTTCAGTAGCACGTGCTGTTTGGCTGTTTCATTCCCGCAAGCTCACATTTTTTCCGAAGGTCGAGTTAGGACCGCCAAGCGACGCTATCCCTTCGTGCAGCTGGTCGTTCTCCTCCTTGGTCCACGTCCTCCTGTTGAACATTTTGCTCTTTGTCGGCGTCGCCGTGGCCGAGGCTTGCTTCGTCGCCGTCCCTGCTGCTGCTACCGGAACTCCGACGTCAACAGCGGCAGCGGGGGACGCCGCCAGAAAGTCGCGGTCCAGGGCACGAGGCGTCGTGCCCGCCTGCTCCCGGATCCAGCTGACATCGGCCGGCGTGCGAGGGTTGTCCGACCCGCTGGTGGAGAAGAAGGAGCGGTTCTTGCTGGGCGTCCCTCTCTGTCGATGTATGTAGCAAAGGAGGACACGAGCGTGGGAGGAAGCAGCGTCACACATCACCCGAAATATGGCGCGAACGGTGTGGGCTATTACTACAGGTAGGTAGCCGGTGTGCGGCCTTCTGTCTGGTGTTCGGCGCTCACCAATCATGCGGCAGGCACAAAACACAAATGCCGAGGTGCAAGCAATGCAGTGAGTATTGACGCTCTAGCAGCAACGCCTGCGAAGGCTACCCTGCTGGACAAGCTCCCGCTGGCGAGCCAAACGCGCACGGTCGGGGGTGGTCTGAAATTGGGAATTTGGCGCCAGATTGATCAACGCACCTACAACTTCTCACCTTGGAGGGAGATGCCAGCACTTCGAGCTCTGCCGGGGCACCCTGTCGAACAAGTGAGCAACAGATCGGGTACCATGAGACAACATGGAGAGACGCACGTGCTGTGTTCATGCACGCGCGAGTTTGCTACCTACCAAGGTTGGGTGCTTGGCTTGCAGATCGACTCAAAAAAAAAAGGCTAACGGCGGCTTTGGGTGCACGCAGTTTCTGTCTCACCGTCAAGCGCCGCTTCTCTGTCCGCGGAGACGGGGGTGGCATATTCATCGCCATGATTGCGAGCGTTCTTTCTCCCTGATACGTCCCACACGGGGTACCTACCAGTCGAGTTGTGTTTCCTCTCCAATCTCGAAGCTTCGAAGCTTCCGTGCAAGGCAGGAGGAGCCAGCAGCACAGACCACCAGCGAGAGGACGAAAATTTTCAGTTTTCCTATCTTGGTTCTCTTTCTCAACGGCCAATACCCTCCCGAACCCATGGAAAGCCCCACCCGTTGTTGTTGCGCCGCATTTTTCTCACTCTCTGCTCCAGCTCCCCTGCTTGCTTGGTCCCCGCGTGATCTCTCTACTGCTGCTTGTACGTTCACACACAGCAGCCGACACGATGAGACATGCTCTCCGCGTCACCTTGCTTTTTCTCGTCAATCATCTCGGCGGGACTGGAGTTGTAAATGCTTCGTGGACGTCCGGCAGGCGAAGGTCAGCAGGGCCTTCATGGACTACGGAGGGCGACATCGAGGTACAGTTGGCGCCCGCAGTTAAGAAACGCTTATTTCAGGTCCAGCCTCGAATTCTTATTGTGGGCCATAAACTCAGCGTATGTCGTCCAGTTTCTTATTTCAAATTCCTTATTTTCTCGTGCAGCCAAATCCTCCTGAGTTTCTCAAATCGGCAATTTCTTATTTCTCTGCTTGCATACTACACAACGTTCCAAATATACAAATGATTTGCACTGCTTTCCTCGACCCCCTTACTCAACCCCGATTCTCACTACCGACGGCTGCACGTAAGGCCACTCCCTAGAAGCGAAATGTATCCAGCGGCAACGTCTCGCTATCGCTACAAGGTCATGTACCCCCCTCATGGGTGAGGGCTGAAACTAAACAAATGCATAAACACCGCATGATGCCTCACCCGCACGCTGACGTGCCAACAACGAAAACTATCCCGTCATTATGTTGCAAGCTCCGTGAGGCGAACATTGGGGGTTGTCACCCTTTTGCGCCTCCCACTCCCTTCCTTTGGGTCTACCTCTAGGAGAACCCACGCCCCAATTGTGGCGTCTTCATCCGTGCTGTACGACTCCAACGGAATCTTCATGCTACGCGTGCTTTCGTTACGGTGCAGGATGACGCGGTAGTCGTACTCCTGCCGCGAAGCGGGGTGAGATCTGCGACTAATTAACCCAACCCGAGTTTCACGAGAACCCCACGCTTCAGTATCGAATGATCGAGCGGTCGCCGCTGTGTTTCTTGTTGAGATATTTCTTATTGTGTGACCCAGATTGAGCTATGTTTCTTAACCCTAGTTTCTTATTTTTCGTGAAGAGGTGAGCCTCAATTTCTTAACAAAATATTTCTTAACTGCGGGCGCCAACTGTACTGCATCTACAGCAGTACCTACGACGATGCACAACGCTCCTCCGGCCGCTTCACTGGCGGGCTCTTGTAGCAAACATCCCGTAGCATGGGTGATCGTGCGAATATTTAGTCCCTTGGCGTGGCCTGTGCGCAAACCTAACTCTTCTGGGCCGCGACTGCAGTTGTATACAGGGGAGATTCAATCATCAGGATCAGTCCATCGCCATGTGTTGCAGACCACGTGTGAAAAGAGCGAATCGTCCGGAAGAAAATTTGGTGAGCAGCGGGTTTTGAACCCGTGTCTTTATCCTGATATCTCTTCGTCGACGTCATTGTGAAAAGAGGGAATCGTCCTCATCTGACTAAGGAGATTGTACCTTTATCAAGGTGGTCTCCACACAGACACCAGAGAGAAAACTCCTTGTGCAAAGATGTGTCAGTTGGTTGTGCCACTGCGTCAGTGCTGCCGTTGCGCCAGACCTATCATCTCAGACCATGTTTTGCAATGCTAACCCCGGCAATGCATCACTCTCCGACGCATACGCGGGCGATTTAGTCAATCCATAAGTAATGTGTAGCAAGGCGGCGCGCTGAGAGTTTGTGCTGTTTGCTGTGCCAGGAGTTGGCGGGAGCAGGCCGTCGGCAGCTGGGTCAACAAGGAACACCGATTGCGGAATCTCTCCTGCAGACACCGCCAGGACTAGAAGAGTCCCGAAGGTGTGTTGCAAGTGTTCTCATCGCCGGTCCGAACTAAATGTTAGACTACGGAGATGTCGGCTCGAAGACGGTGTTAGTTGCTGCTTCTTCACCCCCGTTTGTTTTCGGGTCGCCCCTCTCAAAGTCAAACATAGCTTGCTGCACGACGACGGCGGTCCACCACATTATCAATCCCGAGTACCGGCAGTTTCTTTGACCCCCAATGCCGATCCCTCATATTTCCTTAGGAATGGGGCGGGATTCGAACCGTATGCCAACAACGGCGGGACAGTGGTCGCGGTGGCCGGCCCGGACTACTGCATCATCGCAGCGGACTCGCGGTTGAGCGACGGCTACACCATCTTGAGCCGAAACGTAACCCGCGTCCACCGCCTTTCCGGGGACACTCACCTCGCGACTGCCGGCTGCTGGGCTGACACGCAGGGCTTGCTTCGCTTGCTGGAGGTGAGGGCCTCATCAGCTGTTGCGACAGTACGTCTGAAGACTTTGGTTGCAGAAACCTACCTCCTACGGAAAACGGTATTCACACAGGACGAACAGGAGAGGCACCGCGCGCAATGTTTTTTGCGAAGATGGTCCGCGGTTTCACCTAGATATGGCTCCGATAAGGGCGACGGTCGTCAGCGGGCGCTGCTGCATTCGTTCAAGCAATCGCGCCATGCTTTCCCTGTTTTGCTTCGCTATCAGCATCAAAGTCTCAGCTACACCTGCGCGTCATTCACGCGTGCACCCTCAAGTCTTAAGAGGTATCCATTGTGTGTGTGTGCGTGTGTCTTTTTTATTAGCGTCGACCGCGCTAACTGGTTGACCGATGGAAAGATGTCAGTCTCAGTGCGGTGGAAAACAAAAAATGCTTCTGTAGGCCACAATCTGGGATCCTCTGACCGAGCGTCATGTACTACTCTCCGGATAAAGAGAGATACGGTTGCAAAAACACAAGAAAACTGCACGTATGTGTACGTGTGTGTTTATTTTAGTGGCATCGACCGCGCTAACCAGCTGATCGACGAAAAGACGTCAGTCTTGTATTTGGCTGTGTGGGAGTGTGTTTTGCAGTTCGTTTTTTATTCCTCTTGGGTGACAATATTTCCTTTTGGGGTGGGTTCGTTAGACGCTCGAGCGCTCTGTGGTTCCTGGGTGCTGATGGGCACTCAACCCTGCTTGGTAATGTTGTTCCACCCATCTCCAGTACTTGATACGTGACTACGAGATGGAGCAGCGACGGACTATGGGCACCAAGGCCGTGAGCCGCATGCTGAGCACGCATCTCTACTATCGGCGGGGCTTTCCGTTTTACACGTTCAACATCGTGGGCGGCCTAGACGAGGAAGGTGCGTGTGTGACGGAGTCGAGGAACATGACGTCACTCCACGAGAAGTCGTTCTTTCTATCTTTGGGCTATTCTATGGTTCAGAGCAGTGGTCCGGACAACAAGTAGCGGGTCCCGAGCTCCACGGAGGGAATCGTGGGGAGCAAGTTATGAGCGAGAGGCTGTTGCTTTTTTTTTCTCAGCAACGTTGTCGAGATCAGGCTCTGCGTCCTCGTGTTTGCTCGTTCGAAGCATACCGCGTGCTCCTGTGACATGTGTTGTTTTTCGTCAGATTGCGGCGTCCCGGTAGACCGTCACTTCAAAAGATTCGTTGCGTTAGATTAGTTCCATCCTAGAGTCTGGGAAAGGCTCCTTGACCAAGACACTTCTGAAGAAACACATGAAAAACCTCATAACAGCTAATGACTTGGTTGCTGCGACACCCACTGTGCTACACGAACGGAGCACTCCGTCCAAGGCGAACTTGTGAAAACAGTATCGTGTCTAAGCCAGCTGTCCGTTTTCCCGCCCCCACGTTCCACGCACCGGTCAACTCATCATCCGACTGCACCATCAGGCATTGGAGCCGTGTACGGATACGATGCTGTTGGTTCTTTCGAGCGCGTTAGGGTGGCGTGCGCGGGTGGCGGACTTAGCCTTATGCAACCCGTGCTCGATCGCCTCGATGCCGCTGAGGCGGCGACCGGGGCCGGCGGGGGCCAGCGCGCGGGGCGGGAACAGCCCGTGGTGGCTGTAGGGCTGGAGGAAGCGTTGGCGTTAGTTAGGAAGGCGTTCGTGGCGGGAGGGGAGAGAGATATCAGCCTCGGGGATGAGGTGGAGATAGTGGTGGTGACTCGAAAGGGCCACCGACGAGAACGGCTGCAGCTCAAGAGCCATTGAGTATTAGAACGTTCTGTGTAAATACACGCTTGCTTTTGGCAGTATCGGTGTTCCACCTCCTGAGTAGCAGCCCCCACGGTGGTGCCCTATCCAACAGACATAATTGTCGAGGGAAATAGAGGGGGAAGCACTTCTCATGGCGGCACCGAGAACAGCTGCACTCAAGAGCGACAGTAGACATCAATATCTTCGTATTTTTCGCGGAGCATGCGTACACGTGTTTCTCTCACGCGGCGGTTCCGCGCTTTTCCAATGGTTGATAATGTTATGTTGAAGTACGAAGTATTTTTTAATTGCACACATGTGCGCCCTCCCAAAGCGTTTCTTCTCGGTTCTAACGCTTCGTTTGGCAGCCAACCAGAAGAGGCCGGTTTTAACGCCCCACCGCTTTTTTTTTTCCTCGGGCGTACAATGCATCTGGTGTGACAGAAGTCACAGTTTGGCTGTGCACGACGTTGCTGCGACACATACATGCGGCTGGCTCCAAGTATTTTGCAGCGAACTGACGCTGTCAAAGCCCTGTCAAAGCCAGGTGTGCTACTGCACCCCGAATCGATAGCACATCACCATGGGCAGCTACTTCGTCACGCATGTTTGGCGAGCGCCCCAACTGACGAGCTCCTGGAAAACAGTCTCACGTTTAGGGACCAAGCAAAGAACAGACTAACCCTCTCGTGGACAAATAACTGGCTGGAAGAAGGGGGAGCTTGTGGGAAGGGGTGCCCTTCCTTGTGTTCGCAAGGACTTGCTCATTTCTGGACCGGTCGCAAACAATGTGCGCTCGCGTGTGGCAAGATCTGCTGCATCGGTCAATACATGTGGGTAGACTGACAGAGGCATTGTGTTGGGAAAGGCAGAACGGATTTGGTGGCGAAGAGGGAGTTCGTTAAAATGAGGAACAAGCAGTAATACTTTTTCATCATTCCAGGTGCTGTGCCTGACTGCACTGCAAACTATACGTGCTAACCTGTGCCTTGCTGTTGTTTCTGTCATCGAATACAGAAGTAGTAGCACTTAGACCTGACGGGCTGCCTTGTGTCATCTTGACATCATCATCTTTCGTCGTGAAGAGCAAGGGGGGGGAGTTACCGGATGGAGTACTAGAATGGGCAGACCAACAAGGACTTTCTAAAATTCCACCCCTGCGCTGCAGCTCCTCTTTCCCCCGAAGAAAAGTCGTCCGCCGACTACAAAGATGCAGCTTCCTTCATGCGCTGCTTACCACGTCGCGCACCACCTCTTCGATCAAAAGAACACGACCACCACAAAAAGAACGTTGTGAACAATAATCCTCTTGTAGATAAAGCGTACGCCGTTCGTCCGTACAGCACAAGCACCCGCGAGGTGCGCAGCTCCTCCAACGACACTTTCGGATTTCTCACTTACATAGTAGTCGGCCCGCATTGTGACGATTCGGGGCAAATCCAGCAGTCTCCCCATCCCCTCTCCCCCCCCCGTCGCCTACCCCGCACCTCCCGCCCGCACAATTGCACATGTGTTGTGCTTTGCTCTCGTCAATCTCTACACTCTCTCTGCGATGGCCGACAATGGCGGTAGTTCTCGTGGCGGTGGCCGAGGGGGCCGAGGTGGAAGAAGCACTCGGGGTGGTGGCGCAAGAAGCAGGCGCGGCCGTGGTGGATCATCTCGTCAACAAGGCGGGCCAACAGCAAGCACCGGCGGTGGCCGCGGCGGTGGCGGTGGCAACAACACCCCCGTCTACAGAGCCATCGGCGACGAGACAACGGACAAGATCGGGAGGGAGTTGTCAGAGCTGGTCATGTCCTCTCGCCCCGATGATTGCTCCAAGCTCGAGGTGATTTGCTTGCCTATGAACGCTGCTGGCCAAGGTTCACCTACTCTTTGCTGCTGTGTGTAAGTCTAACAAATGGAATAGTATAGTATTATTATTATTTTGACTGGGGCAGGTGTACAGCAGCGGGTTCCAAAGACCTGCACCCCTTCCGCTAACAGAACAGCAGCGTGCGGGCAACTCCGTACTACGCTTCGCCACTTTCATGAGCGGGCTATTTTGTATCCCGCATCAGCTACAACGAGAAACAGCAGTGGTTGAAAAATTGAGCGTGTGAACATGCCTGCTCACGGCAGAGTGCCCACCCCGTTTTGTACCCCCTTTCTGCGCTGTGCCCCGCTCTCACCGTGCGTACGCGAAAAAAACAATGACTGACAGGCGCTCCTGGCCCAGACCCACAAGCAGCACCCGAAGAGGCTGCAGACTGTCTTACATCGAAACACCACGTTCGCTTTTCCGCAAGGGCACATGCTGGCGGCAGGTGAACAAACGATGGTTCGATGAGTTGTCGCGGGCGTAAGCAACGACTTCTTTGGTTCTGTAATCACCCACGCCCAGAGCTTTCTTTGTTGTATTTGTTTCTGCCCTTCTACGCTTCCATTGAGTTTTTTGTTTTCTTTTTTCTCTTCCATCATTGGACTCTATCGTCTGCCCCTCTGGCCCCTATCCTCCACTTCTACCAGCTAGACGACCCAACCGGGGTCACATAGGGGGGGGCGTTTGACCCCCTCCTGCGGTTCCTGCCTGAGATATTTTAATGGCGAGAAGGGTACAGCAATCCCTTCCCTCGCGACTTATGAAGTCGATCAAGGTTACGGCCTCGGTAATTGTGTGGTAGACACATCCGTCAAAGGGCCTGGGAACCCCTGATCCCAGCCGATTACTTTTCATCTCATCCCGTCCCATGTTCCGTCCCATCCCGTCCCGCCCCAGCTTGTTCCAACGGGAAGGTCGCCGCGGCCGACCTCCTCCTCCGCTACGGCGTCGAGCCCAACAAGCAGTGCCCCTCCGGCTCCACCGCCCTGAGCCTCGCCTGCTACAACGGGAGGACGGCCTGCGTGAAGCTCCTGCTGGGGCTGCCGGGCTCCCTCCGCGGCACCGCGGTCGCGGGCGTCGGGGTGCCCTCGCGGGCAAGCCCGAGGGTGGCCCCTGCCTACGGCGCTAACGCCCTGATCCACGCGTGCCGGTGCACCAACGAGAAGGCGGCCGAGGAGATCGTGGGCGCCCTCCTGGAGGCCGACCCTTCGCTACCCCTCGAGGCTGCCGAGGGGGCTCTGGCGTTGCACGCGGCGGCGGCCAGCGGGTTTCCGCGGGTCCTGGTGGGTTTTTTGGGGGTGTTTTGCTAGTGAGGTTGGTCTGAGGTCCGGCGCTGGGCGGGTTGGTTCCCCGCATTCGGAGATTTTGGTGGCGGCGGGATTCTTGCCGTTCCGTGGATTGCTGCTGTTGTTCTTTTTCGTCGTCGACGAGTGAATTCTGCACCCTTGAGAGCCAGGTTAGAGAGAAAAACATTGCGACCTCCGTTCACTCTCTCATTTCTATTTCTGTCATTTGTTTTTCGTCGGGTTGTTTCCGTCTCGCAGGAAAGGCTGTTGAAGAGCAATGACGAGTTACCAGGCGACCAGTGCGAGACGCAGCTGGGGTGGATCAACAACGACAACCTCTGCGCGCTACAGGTGACAACGAAGTGCTCCGGCCGCACGATATGCAATTTGGCCCTGTACAAGCTGCTTGTCGCTGTCTTGACATTTATATACCGTTACGGTCTGTCCTCGGTACCTTCGAAACATCCTTGCCAACGTGGACGCCTTCCTTGGTCACAGGCCAACTATCCGAAGGGGCACACGTAACATGTCATCAAAGAGAGCAGTGGTCTAGAGACATCGCAGAGAATCGTCAAGCACGCCAGTGATACGTATGTTCTCGTTGAAGCAGGAACGGCCCCCCAGGAACGAAATGTGGTCCATCGAGTAACCCCTCCCCGCGCTTCCCGCGCGCGCCTAGGCAGTTATTTGCATGCACCTGGAGATAGTGAAGCGTGAGCCTGTTTCCCGTCGCGCATGACCATGATGAACGCAACAGCTGATGCGATGCCAAACGATGTCTGGAGCTCGAAAGTCTTTTTTGCCGAAAGGCAGCAGGGAACGGAATGAGCGTATGCTGCAGTATGTTTCGCACGCCCTCCGGCGTGCGAGCCTTCCGCGGAAACCAGCCTCCAACCGTCTTTCTAGCCGATCTCAAGGCACTTGTCGGCGACACACATATGCACCTGGGCATTGGAGCAACAGCGGTGTGTCAGGCCTTTTCTCTGAGACACCTTCTAGCAGGGAGAACAATAAGTCGGACCTCACCCCCCCCACCCCCCCCACAGCTAAAAACCCGCTCGGGACAAAACCCGAAGGAAAGCACGTCGCCCCTACCCCTGCAGGCAGAAGCCCTGCGAATGCTGACTGCAGTGCATCGACTCCTTCCCACTCCCTCCCTCAGGTAGCGGAGAAGAAGTGCGAGACCGAGATGCAGCGAGAGCGAGAGAAGCAGGCGCAAGTCTCGAGGGCGCCTCGCCCTCAGGGCGGCGGGGGGGGGCAGCAGCAGCAGCAACAGCAGCAGCGCCGAGGCACTAACAACGGCGGCGGCTCACGAGGCGGTCGCGGGAGGCGAAACGGCGCTCGGGGAAGGGGGGGGGGGG